GCCAAAATATTATACGAGGCGACTGATGTATGAAAATATGTAACAACTTACTTTCGTCACTGGAGACGAAAGTAAACGTTATGGGATTTTTTCTCACTAGTGACGGAAATCAAGTTTTCGCTGAAAGTATCCTGTGGCGAAAGATGTCTTTTTGTAAGAGTTCGTAGAAAAAAATTATTATCTAGGATTACAAAATTAATAATAAACAGCGAGTCCAATTTTTTATTTTCTTTTTACACTATATTTACAAATGATGCGAGAATATAAATTCAACAATTTTACTCATTACAAGCTTATAAAAAATACTCTTATTTACCAAGCCGCGCAAACTATTAAGTAGGCTAATGCTATTTTTCCCGTTGCGACTTGTCTAGCAACACAAATGAAACTTTTCTCATCTGGCCAAAGGGATGCCGTCGCTGTGGTACGAAAAATATCATATTCTCCTAAAAGTGCAACACGATTAAAAAAGTCAGATTTAAATCAAAACCTCAAATCGTCAATCTATTCAGCTGATGAAGTCCTGGCACTATTTATAAGCTTAAAATTGACTCGCAGCTAGTATGTTAGTTTGAGGGAATCTGCTAAGCAAAGAATCTAAAACATATGTATCCTCCTTATTACAATCTATTAGAAGCAAATAAAAAAAGTTTACCATTTTCAAAAATTGTTGTTATAGAACATCTGCTGAGGTTTCATTACAAAGTTTATTAAATCACAGTGTAACCCAAATTGCCGATTTGAAATCATTGTTGATTTGCACAAGCTTTATAATTTGGGTGCAGATTTTACGTGGAAGTCAAAGTAATTATAACTAACATTTTTAATCAAACATACTTAATGAAATTTACCACGATGGCTCAAGTATTCTTACTACATCTTTAGTTCCTTTGCAATTATATCAACAACATCAGGGTTCCAAATTAATTTTATGGCAAAATTCGCGTACTTCTTTTACCCGTTTTTGTAGGCCCATAAAAATTAATTTGTAAAAAGTACTGACGTGATGAAGTCCGAATTCTCCCATATAGAAAGTTAAATTAAAAATCTTACTCCTACCAAACTAATAATAAATAACAAAGAAGTTTTTGTTAACCATCAACTGTTTAAAATAATGATTGATAAAAAAGTTTGCAATGTTTTGACTTCCAATTCTTCTATCCAAAAATGTTACATCTGTAAAACAAGTCCAACTGAATTTAATAAGTTAGATAATTTAGCATCGCGTCGTTATGATCCTTTATCCCTTGATTTTGGTATATCATCATTACATGCCTGTATCAGGTACTTTGAATGTTTGCTGCACGTTTCCTATTGGCAAGATTTTCAAAAATGCCAAGTTCGTGGTGATGAAAATAAAGGATTATATGCCGCTAGAAAACAACAAATTATAACATCATTCAAGAATGAACTGGATCTTCTGGTAGACTCAATTAAACCTGGTTTTGCTACCACAAATAATGGGAATACTGCTTGTTAATTTTTTTCTTATCCAGCATTATCATCACGCATCACAGATATTGACCAAAAATGTATTTATATATTCAGTATAAGTTTAAAAGGCCTAAACTATATTTTTAAAATAAATTCATCCTCTTTTGGACAGTATGCATATAAAACCACAATACCGTATGTGCAGTTATATGAGTGGTACCCAATGGCTGCAACTGTACATATAAAATACTTTTGCATGGAGAATATATTATTGATAATATTTTATTACAAATTGGTCAGATTGAAAGACGCGCAGGAATCAAGGCACAATGAAGTTAAATATTATATACACGAAAGATGTCGCGAAAAGTAACAAATGAAGATATTATGTTCATAATTTTGCTTATTTCACCAGATCCTCCAATTTTCAGTATTTTTACCACCTAGACAAAGTAGTTCAATTAACGAAGATATTATGTCACTATAAGAATCTCTAGAAATTCTATCTGATATCGAATCTGACTAAAGCTTATGTATGTTCTGTTTCTTTAGTTTTTGTTTAATGTTTATAGGTGCATTTAAATCTACATTTAAATTATAAATTAAATATATTAACGTCGCCTACACTTACTTTGACAAACTGCCTTAATTGCTTTATAAAAAGCCACAATTAAATGCCTTAATGTATTAATAATTAATTTTTTGTTATTAAAACATCTATAAAAATATTTTTTTTTTATATAAATGTCATTGGAAAGGGTTTGGAACAAGCTTTCAATTGATCACTTGCCATATGATCCCACTTAAAATTATTTTCCAAAACGGCTTCTGTCCGCCATTTTAAATGATTACATCACCTAAAATTATTAAAAGATAGTATACATTCCTTAGTTCAGATTCTCAAAATTTTAAATTAAAAAAAAAAAAATTAAAAAATTATTCAGTTTTAAAGATACTAAATGAGACAGTATTCAAGTTTGTAATAGGTACGCAAAAAAGTGTTGACTATTTGCTAACGACAACTCAAAAGGAAGCAAAACTCATGGAAATACGTTTATATTATTTAGCTTAGAGCCGATCTTTTCACCTCTGAGTGAAGTTACATGTAGGTTTACTTGACAGATTAACACGCAATAGCTTTATAGTTTAATCAGCAAGTAATTACTTTCAACTTTACTCAGAGGTGAAAAGATTGGCCCTTAATTAGTTTAAAAAGTAAGTCTTAAGTTTCTATTCTGTATACCTAAGTATTTTGTAAACGATAATGTTTTTGAAAATATATTTAATACCTTTGTGCCCTGGTATCCACGCTAGTTTTACTTTGTTGTGGGTTGCCAGATCTTAAGGTTGTTTGGCTATCTGAGAGAATTAGGATGGTTTGTTTTTTGTACTTCCTTCTTAAATTCTCTCGTACACACAATTCGATTGCATGTATTTCAGCCTGAAATACAGAGGTATGTTTTCACAATGATGATGATGTCGCATTTTGGTTTAACTCCATGTACGCCAGAGCCTGTTCTCTTGTTAGTTTTAGATCCATCCGTATACCATACGAGACCGCTAAGCAAGTATTTATCTGTCTCCTTATTTACCTCGTTCCAGTTGCAGTTGACCTGGAAGAGTCTGTTGAAGGTTAGGAGGGGTGACATGTGCTCTGATCCTATGTTTAATATAGAATCATTTATTTCATGTGTTATTTTGGTATGTTTTATATGTCCCAGTGGGTTCCAGTTGTTGGAGATTTTTAGTCTGTATGCACTCATTCTGGTCTTCCCCTTTATGACTAGGTCAAGGGGTGGGAGGTTTAGAATGATTTCATTAGAGGCTATCGGTGTACTTCTCAGTGCTCCTGTAATACAAAGGCTTGCCAGCCCCTGTACTCCTAAGAGGGTATTTAGGGCTATTTTCTGGTTTACTTTTGGCCACCAAACAACCGTTCCATAAGTTATCATGGGTCTTGTTATTGCCAAATATAGCCAGTGGATCATTTTGGGTTTTAATCACCATCTTTTTTCAAATGCCCGTCTCCCTACAATGAGAGGCATTTTCCATTTGTTGGTCACTTTTTGTCAGTCTTGGTTCCAAGTAAGTTTGCTATCTAGGATTAGCCCCAGATATTTTACTTGGTTCGTTTTGTTTAGCCTTCCTCCAAACAGAGTCGGAGTTTCTTAAATCTCCAACCTTGTTTTCCGAGTAAAGGTTATGAGTTGTGCCTTGTCAGGGTTTACCAGGAGATTTTCCCTAACGCACCACATTTCTGTCAGCCTGAGAGCTCTTTGCATGAGTTCAAAGACTGGTTTGGTGTTTCCCTCGGATAAGGATTAGTGGTGGCTCGCTGCCAAAAAATTGGGGGGCCACAATGAGAGAATATAGGTCTCAGTATAGATTTAGGTAAAAAGATTTCAGTGTTTTGGAATGGTGTATTATAAAAGCTGAAAGTTTTTTACGTTCATCTGTACTGAGATCTATATTTTGTCATTGTGAACACCCAATTTTTTGCACACAAGCCGCCACTGAAAAGGATGACTATGTCATGGGCATATCCTTGGGCGTACAGCCCTTGATTGTTTAGTGTTTTGAGCAGTTCATCTGCCACTAGGTTCCACAGTAGAGGAGAAAGGACCCCACCCTGTGGGCATCCCCTGTGGATATTCCCCTGCATGGTTTCACTGAACATTTGTGGCCTGTACTTGCCTTCCGCGTAACATGTCTTCTATTCACCAGCAGATGGTGTCTTCTATTCTATGTTTGCGAGCGGCAGCTACCATTGATTTAAAGGAGGTATTATCAAAAGCTTCTTTTATGTCAAGAAATGCTCCTAGGACTATATCTTGGCTACTGAGTGCCCCCTCTATCTTGGTTACAAGATGATGCAGAGTAGACTCACAAGATATTCCTGTTTGATACGCATGTTGGTTTGTATGAAATGGCCTCTCTATCAGAGTGGTTTGCCGGATATGCTAATCAATCAGTTTTTCCAACTCTTTCAATAGAAATTACGTCAGAGTTGTTGGTCTATAGGCCTTTACCATACGTTGGACGCCCTGGTTTAGGTATAAAGACAACTTTGCTTTGTTTCCAGGTATTTGGTACATGTTTATGCACCAAGCTTGCCCTATAGAGCCTACACATATGCCTAGCCAGCGTTTCTATTGCCTGCTGCAAAAGCACAGGCAGTACTTAATCTGGTCCTGGCGATTTGTATGGATTGAAGGTGCGTATTGCCCATGTTACTTTCTCTGTTGTGACTACTTGTTTAGCAGTTTCCCACTCTTAGCTGTAGACTCCTTTTTGAGAGTTCCAATTCGTTTTGGTTTGGTTTGCTGAATTCAAGTTTGTTGTGCAATCAGGGAAATGAGTTATAACCTTATTGTCTTATCTTTTAAACTGTACTTTCTTTATGAAAAATATATATTGGTAATCTAATGATGTATAAGTGTACCGTGTATTAAATACATATAATTAGGGATTGTCAACATCATTTCATAATTGTCACTGATTCAAAGTACAATGTTAAATTTTTTTAATCTATAAAATAAGATTTTTTTTTTGACATCCCATTAGCAAAAACATTGGCGGCGTCAATTTCCTATGTCATACATTTTTTGACGTAGAACACCTATTTGGTTATTTGGTTTTTGTCAAGTTAAGTCACTGTCTTTCTAAATTAAATGTAAAGTATTTCCCTTCATATTTATATTTACCTAATAATTAAGAAATAACGATAGAAAAAGTATTCTAGTTGGACACCTAAACTGTCAAGAGGAAAATTTTAAACCAAGTTTCAAGAAATGGAGCCAATTGCAGATGTATTAACGCAAACAGAAAAGAAACTACAAGAAGCCCAACGAATGCATTTGATATCGGAGAGAACTACCGAGGAACTTGTTAAGGATGTTCAGACCTATAAAGCAAAACTGGCGAATCTCATTACTGTAAAAGAAGTTAGAAGTGACCTTCTTAGCGAATTGAATGACAATGTAGTCGAGTTGGACGAACAACTGGCGGAGCTCAGGGATTTAAGCGGTGCCATGATAAACGATCTGGAAAAATCTCACAGACTATGTGACAGATACAGGATAGTAGTCGATCAAAAACCTAAACATACTGCACAACTTGAAGCACAACTTGAAGATATTCAAGATGAAACTACACGGCAGGTAACCCGATTTAGAGACAGATGCGAAATTTTGAAGAAGTCGATAATAAAACAACTGAGTGAAATGGAGAAGGCGCTACTCCACGCTTTAATAGAACGAGATGAAGTTTAAAATATATTCACGGATACTATCAATTAATTATCAACAAATCAAAGACAGCATAAGATATAAAAAAATGTTAATGTATCATTAGATATTTATAACTGATACCAGAGTTTCTTATTTCTTTTATTTATTGTTTTAATTTTCTAAATTTTGTTATATTGTATAATTCCCAGAACAATTGAAGCTATTAGTGCGTGGAGGTCACATACTTTGATTTTCTTTGTGGAGGTGTTAAGTCATTAAAAGTATATTTTAAGTTACAGGTCGGCTACCACTTTTGTGGTGCTAGATACATTTTTTTTAATCCAAATGACGCATGGTACAATATTTTTTTTATTCCAAATAATTAGGCATAAGAAAGGATTAATTTATAATTATTATTATAAAAAAAATATAAAATGCGGTTAAAATAAAATAGTTTCAGATCAATTTAAACTCATATAGAATCTTTTTAAATTTTTTGAAATAAATGGGAGCTACTATTGAATGTTATCAAATTTTTTGGCTGCTATTGGTTTAGATATTTTTAGTTGAACAGAAATATATTTGTCTTGTTCGGTAGTATGGGTTTGTTTATGTCTTTTCACTCTTCTTCTTCATCTAGTTCGTTGTACCAAAGCTGTCAATTCTTATCCATCTTACCTGGCGAAAAGGTATCTTCTCGGAATTTTACTTTTCCTTTTGTCCAACTTTCGGGGCAGTTATTTTAAGTTAATAAATTTATCTTCAATTCTGTTAATTACAAACGGATTCCTTTTCCTATCTTCTCTTATTAAGGCCATAATATGATCAATTGTATAAATATTTTGAATTTTTCTAATAACTTTTTTGAAAGCACCAAAGTCTCTATCAATACCCATAAAACTATGGACAATCTCTGGAAATTTATGGAAAACAGTTTTAGAAATTCTTAGTGAATGTAGAAAATATAACACCACTACAACAACACATGCCTAAAACAGTCAATTTTATACTAATGCATTCTGCAAGAAGGCGCTAACTCAATAGTTAACCATTTCATTCACAAATTATCAAGAGTTAACATCTTCTTTCTCTAAATAATTTTGACAAAACTTGAGTTTACTTGTTCTGAACTTCAATTCTAAACATAAATATAGAGAAAAGAGTAAATTAAAAACAAATATACACTAAATTAAAAACGTAAACACAAAAGTAAATGTTCTAAACAAGTAATATTGAAACTTTTAATACCATAATATAACACCATGCAGATATAATAATCATAATATGGCTATAGAAGAAGCTGTGCTGCTTTTGACAGTAGGTAAAATAGGTACATTTTACGCATATATTTTGGAACACCACAAGTGTAATAGGAACATTTGAATTCGAAAATATTAGTAACTATGTAATTATCTAATAGTTTTTGATTATAGTGATTCATCAAAAATGTTTCTAAAGTACGCTGTTTTCTGAACGACGACGATTTCTATTTTAGGCTTCGAAGAACCATGTTCTCTGCATACCTACCTTCTCAATCGCCGTCACAGAAAAAAGGGTTGCCTTCCCATCAGCTGAGAGCAGTGCAGGGTAAAAATATAGCTAGTAGACCAGAATAATGTTTTAGACAAACTGCCAGATTCTTGCTTGATGATAGTGAACTTAAATGTGATTTTCATTCAACCGTTTTATTTACACAATAATTTTACATAATGGAAGATGAGAGCACTTAGATTTATGTTTTAGGATGTTGTTGCGTCGAAAGGTCGAGTCATTCTCTCAGTTTGTTCAGTCGAGTAGTGTGTACGTAACTGCGCCATGCGCCAGTGGTCCTGTTTTCATTGTTATTGGTTGAGGGACATAGCGTGATGTTTAGTGTGAACTTTTTTGCAAAATAAAAATAGAATATTAAAGTTTGAAGTTTTAGATGTATTTTAGCAGTTAATTTTTTTCATTCTTATGTTAGCACAAGTAAAACAAAGTTATGAGTATGACAAGGCTAGCATTAATGCCTAATTCACTGGTAATTTTCAATTAAGGAAGATAGAGATATTGTAAATGTATTATTATGGCTCAAATGCAAATGTGCAAAGTTTTCCTGGAATTCAAAAAAACCGTTAGATTATGTTTGCTGTTGCTATGGAGGCAGAGCCGTCTTCAAATATTTTTAAAATTAAATGTGAATTAAATTATTTCAATTGATTTCTTGTTGTACAAACAGCTAAATAACAAAAATAGACTATCCATATAAAAACATTTCGTAAGCATTTACAATTCTTTACTTTTTACTTTTTCGTTTTTAAAATAAAAATAAATGAAATAATTTGTGTTTATGGATAATATGATAATTGACATTTCTATTTATATAAATAGTAAGAAAACGTATATAACAGGGATGAAAGAATCTGTTTGGAATTAGCCCCATTCTATTCGCGATTCAAAATAAGTGATACGCCATCTGGAGGAAATTTGTAGAAGGTGCCTGTAAGTAGGATATCGTTCAGTGTTTCCAGAAGTACCGAAATTTCGCTACGTCGGATTTTAGCCCTTGAAGAAGTGGATAAGACCTTTTATTTAAGAATCAAAATCTGTGTCTAATAATATGTAATGATACTCTATATTTAATTAAGGATTTTTTTATAAAACCGATTTATTATATTGATTTTTTTTAAATTTCAGTTCATTTATTAATTTTGTTTTAAAATCAGTTCATCATTTGGCAACATGGTTTATATTGTTCTTTGTTTATATTTTAATTTTTATCAATTATAATTCGAGTTTTTTCTTACTTTCTAGCTTTAAATTTGTTTTTTTCTTATAGTATGTAATAGTGTTTATATTAAAAATGAAATCTGCGAAAAAGCCTCTAGCAAAATGCAATCTATATGGTGTTAATGTCAAAATCAAAACTGAAATATTCATTATTTTCCAAGCGTAGGTCTTAAAATTTTGTTTCTTACGATAAATGGATATCTACAAACTCACAATATTGAAATTTTGCAAAACTTTGTTTAGAATCAAACTGAAATCTGATTTGTGACGGTTTTATTACCATTTACATGTATACAAAGTACTACACAATTCACTTCATAATATAAGAATAAGGAGTGTAAGATTTTTCAATAAGTTCATCAATAATAAAAGTTTGGTACCTGAAATGTCCTTTAAACCATATAATAAAACATGTCCTGGGTTTAGTAAATACATATTTCTATGTTCTTGTAGTAACCAATAGATGAATATTTCCAACAAATTAAGTCATACACATGATAAATATTATATTTATGATAAAAGCATAAATTGACACTAAACGAAACACAAAAACACTATTATAATGAGAATATTATCTGAAAACTGTTAAAAAATCACAAATACAAAATCCTACCCAAAACCAACACTAACAAGTGACAGGCGCGCGAAAATTAATTTGAATCGCGAATGGCTATGTTCCTCAGCAATAGATAAATTAATAAAGAAGATTTCGTGTTTATCTTTGTATAGTGCGGCGAATTAGTATGAAATGGAATCTTTTTTAACTACACTGGCTGATTAACCTGCCAGTTAGATGCTGCATAAGAAAGAGAAGAATAAAAATAGAAAATAGAAGAGTGGTTTATTCAAATATAATTTATTTATTTACATTTTTTTGGAATTCATTACTCTAAAAAAAAACTTATATTTACGTTAAGATAATTGTATTTAACATAAATATTAGTTGTTTTTTAAGTAATAAAATCCCAAATAAACAAAAGGTATTTACATTAAAATAAAATATTTGAAACATTTATTTTAATTATTTATACATACATAGTAATGAGCTCAATATTAAATAACAATTGTAAGTGAAATCAATAGTATCCCCCCATTCTTGGAAATAATCATCATATGGGCCATATTTTGTTGGGTGTACATAGGTCTTATTGAACAATTTCTTTTATCAAATGATAATAAAATACAGCTTTTTTCTTAAAGTCTTAAATTTTGGAATCTACTTTTATTTATTTATTGTTGCAAAATAATGTTTCTTTGTTTGAAGAGTTGTTTAAATAGTTCATCACTAATATTATGTTTACGTTCGCAACTAATTTCTTGGTTTGCGGTTTCAACTAGGGGTGGGCAAAATAATCGATTATATTTTTTTAATCTATAACAAATTATTTTCAAGTAATCGATTCTTTTCGATCAAACGATTTTTTTCGCTTAAACGATTTTTTTCGATTAATGAATTTTCTCGAATAATTGATTTTTTCGAATAATCGATTTTTTCGAATAATCAATTTTTTTGATTAAACGATTTTTAGATTAATCAATTATTTTTGATTATTTGATTATTTATGATTTATCGATTATTTTCGATTAATCGATTATTTTCTATTAATGGAATATTTTCGATTAATAGATTATTTTCGAATTATTGACTTCGTATGATTAATCGATTGTTTTAAATAATCGATAATCGATTATTTATTTTGTTAATCGCTTAGCCCTAATTTCAACCCTTCTTATCCTTCATTTTTAGTCAGATTTCAGAACCAATAGGCTTTATTCCCTTGTAGAGCTTGATTTCAAGTTGATATCTTTGTCCGTTTTTAAGGATTTTTTTTTTAAATATGTCAACCCTACTTAACTCCCTATTTTAATTCAGATTTTTTAGAATCAATAGGATTCTTATAAAGCTCCATTTTTACTAAAAATTTCATGATGGTATCTCTTTTCGTTTTTGATTTTTGGTTTTTGATATTTTTTTTTTATTTTTAACCCCTCTTAAACCCTATTTTTATTCAGATTTTTTTTCAATATCAATAGGCTTCATTGCCTTGTAGAACTTGATTTTTGCTAAAAATTTCATATTGATATCGCTTATTATTTTTGATTTATGACTTTTTTTATCATGTCATTTTATGGTAGATATCGCTATTCATTTTTGATTTTTGAGTTTTTTTTTTTATTCAAACCCTCTTAACTCCCCATTTTTAATTATATATTCTCAAAATCAATAAAGTTTCGGATCCCTGTCAATAGGCTTTGTCTCCTTATGGAGCTTGATATCATTTTTTGTTTTTGAGTTACGATTTTTTTTATTATTTCTGTTCCCTTAAGATAGGGATCTTTATTCAGTTTTTCAAAATCACTAGGCTTTGTCCACTTATATAGCTTAATTTTTCCTGAAATTTTTAATTTGATATCTCTTTTCGTTTTTGAATTATCGTGCGGACAAAAAACGTATCATCGGACGGACGAACGGACGGACGGACGGACGGACGGACGGACGGACAGACAGATGAACGGAGGAAGCGAATGCATAATACTCTTCACAGACTACTGTGTGAAGAGTATAATAAGATGACAACACAGTCTGTTAAACGCTTTAAGATACATCTTGATGGAACCTTTATAACCATATTTTCTACTTTTACATTTTTTGATAAAATTATTTTGTGGTCGTAGGAAAAATATTGTACATCACGCTTATGCCTCGTACGACAATATTTCCCACTCGTGTGAAAAATATG